AGTCGGTATTGCTCTGCCAATTATATTAACAATAACAACAAGAATACAAGAATTATATACATATATATTCTTTACAGTAACTAAGTAACATAATAAAATCTGGTAGATATTTTGACCATCTCATTGTTAATATACTAAGATCAAGTTCACAATAAAAGTTCCAATACTTAATGCACAGGCTCCAAGAAAGGGAATGTTTCATAAATATCATTGATGCTTTTAAGATTACATATAAGCAACTTATACAGAACGCTAACGAGAACACCACAAAAAACATTATGTTTTGTCATCAAATTAACAAATCAAACTTCAATTATGAATAAAGTGTAATCTGTTCAGACAATTTCAAAATAGATGAAAGTGAAATATTAAATGTAAATTCATAGCATTGTGTCTTATAAATGACCACTAGAAGGTGACTAAACATAAATGGGATGACAAAGGAAGAAATGGGATTTTGAAATCCTTGAGCTAGGAATTAGAAGTTTCAACCTTTATTCCAGTGTAACAATCCTGTGCACAATGAGTCGCACTTAACAAATCCATAGGCCTCAGGACAAAGACTTGAGTGAAGATTTGTGAGTGCAATCTTATACTTTGGTCATATTCTCAAATGTACAAGGAAAAAAATCAAACTAGCAATATTCAACTACAAGATTTTTTTTATAGGAACAGGAAGGTATTGACCATGACAAAGCACACCTAGGTTTATTGCTTTTCAAGGAAACATAGAATATCCTTGAGAAGTTCTACATGTTTTACAAAAAAGGAAAAAGGGTAAAGCAACCAAAATCATAAAATATCATCCAAGTCATGATCTATCTAATCTTATTTGTTGCTTATCGAAAAAAGGTAGTGCTAAATCATGTTATGTCATTCTAATCTATCAAGGGTTATCTATAAATGATATTTTTATTCATAAAAATAAATACAAATAATATTCCTAATCTGACACCACATCTAGACCAGTGGGATCCAAACTGGTCTCTCATCAAATGTTGCTAATGTGTGAGGCGATGATTAGTCGTTTGACTCTCTGGCGTGGTGACTAGTTGGCGCCAAGGCACTGACTAGTTGACCATAAATAGAATATATCCTAAATTTAATATACCAATTAACTGTTACATATAAGTTATCATAAACAATAAAAATGCAATAAAAGAACGATATAGACAATATGATTTCCAGGCATCACTTTGAACAGATAAAAGAGAAGGCTAATAGGATGAAATATAGGATTGTATTTTTAAATATAGAGTGCATGATCAGTATTTTATCTGCCCCCCCTTCTTTGTGGTATACCAAGTCACCAACACGGCCAAAATGAACTACTCCAAGTCCAACATTATTTTATTTTATGCCTTCTTTTTGTTATTTTATATATCATCACCCAACCACATCCAATAGCAAATGCTTATAGCATTTAGCTTGTAGATAACAAAATAAAGACATTATTTTAAATAATTAGAGATAGACTGATAGACACACTCAGACAAATGAAACATTAAAATAATTGTATTAACTAGCATGACTACCCAATAGTTGACCTAGTTAATGTGTATTTTTCCCAAGTTACCACATCACGAGTATCAACTGACTAGTTAATAGTCAACATGGCCCTAATCAGTTGATTAGTCAATGCCTTGATAGCCTTGTCTATGCCATGAAACCGTTATCATATCTACAAGCACACCCTCAACACTCTATCATCCAGGGACCTAACAACATCAGTGTCGAACAATCTCGGTGCATCATATGACCACCTAAAACCTTGTCTTGTTCAGCAGTATTCCAAGGGCATATAATGACAACTTAACAACTTGCTTGGTGTTTTGTGTAACTTTATCCAAGTCTTGGTTTCCTTTATAGACAAAACCGGGGGTTCCTTGGAGTACCAATGTGCTAAGGGTCTGTTTGTTCCTCTGATGTCTGACATCTGAAACTGTAATAATTACTTTAAGAGGTGTATTGGAATTGGAGAACTTTTCTTTGTTCTAATCAAGGTTCAAAATTTTGACACGTATCAGGCTGTATCGGCCGATACATATTGTATTGGGGGCTTCGGGATACACCCCTACAGAGGGTGTTTCGGGGCTGAGCTGGTTCAGGGGTAGAAGGGCCTTAAACCGACCCCTCTGAACCAGTTGCAGAAAAAATAAAAATAAATAAAAGCAAGCCACAATACGCCCCTACCGGTGTATTGGCCTGTGTTGATATTTTGAACCTTAGTTCTAATATCTGAATCTAGACAATATTATTCTGCAATCTGAATGTTGAATGTTGAGTTCTGAAAAACAGCAATTGACTGTTTTAACCCTGAATATGAGAACGTTTCTTTAACTACTTACTGAAATAATTAACAATTAATTAATCAACAAAAAATTATTAAAAAATAAATAAATTGATCAAAAAATTATAAATAATTAAATAATGAATTTTAATAAATATCATCATCATCATCATGCTTTACCCCAACTATATGGGGTTGGCTTTTAATAAGTATATAACTAGAAATTATTAATAAATAACTTAAATAGGTAAAAATGATTACATAATTGTTAGAATTGGAAGGAGTGCATATCCAGAAATTAAAATTAAATAATCAATAATATGATAATTATTAATAACATAGTTGTCAAGGCGACGCCTAGGCGACAAGGCGCCCTTGGGGGCTCGGCTCGCCCAGTCACCAAGCAGTTTTGTGCACTGGGTTATAAAATACTTTTATATTTTTAATTTTTTGACATTATAATTATAAAATAGACATTATTAAACTAGAATATTCATTTATGTGTTTATATACTAGTTTCTTTTTATTATTTTCTTATTTTGTTAGGGTTTAATCAATGCAAACAACTGCTGTATTAAACCCATGGTTCAAAGTATCGATACACCTCTATGTATTGGCAAAGGTGTATCGGTACTTACAATGATACTCCCCCTATTTTTTTTATTTCTTTGGTTTTCAATTTCATTTTAAATAAATATATATATTATTTAAAAAAATGGGTCCCCGAAGACACCTATAAACAGGTATCGGGGCCCCAAAGATACAATACAATACACCCGGTACGGGGCGTATCGTATTGAAATTTTCATCATTGATTGAACCCTCAAAAATTTCAAAACCTGAACCAATAAGCATGGGAAGAACTTAAAATTCTGTCTAATCAACACATTTTCTTCTTCCACCTTTTCTTTTCTTCTTTCCTATAACAAAAGTAGGGGGTCAGCCCCTATATTTTTTTGAATTTTCTTTCCTTTGTTCTTTTTCTTCTCATAAAATGTTGATTTTCTAGACTTAAACATGAAATTTATACTTTTCTGATGAAAATTATGAATAATTATTAAGGAAAAATGGTTATGGAACCTAGGGAACTACCCTAGGATATATGGTTTTACTTAAAAAAAATCCATCGCCTAGGCGACTAGGCGACAAGGCGCCCCCCTGTCGCCTAGCCTTGGTGCCTTGAAAACTACGATTAATTATCAATTATTTAAAAATAATTAAAGCATTTAATAAATAGTTAAATATTAATTAAATATTGTTCTATTAATTAATTAAATATTAATTAAAAATCAACCTGGAGGTTGAACCATGTATGCCTCCAGGTTCCGGGTCAACAGTAATTCCAACCCATGAGCAACCAATTGTATGTTAGGATAAAGGAGATTTTGAGAGAACTATGATTGCCCCTTGACAGTTCGGCCAATGACTCAATGAAGGAGGTCATTAAGGAGGTCAAAGTGGTATAACAGGAAAACCTTAAATTTGATCAAGTAGTTCTCTCAATGGCTCAATGAAGGAATCCAGTTCATACCTTAAGCAAGACAAGATTTGGTTTAGGGCTTGTACGTTTCCTCTTAACTCTTAACTCTTAACTCTAAAGTGGCATTGTAACACTTTCAAAGAGGGGGGTGTTCAGTTGCCACTTTTTATTCAGCCTTAATGTACTGAGTGATATCATAAAATCTATGTCCACTTTCCAAAAATACCCCCATCTCCTCCTTTTATAGACATATATCAAGGTCTGATCCATTTGATGGAGAGCATTTGGAGCTATGTAACATCCTCAAAGATCTCCATGACCTACTTAACAGCTAACACTAAAAGACAAAGCAATAAATCACTCAGTTCAGTCACTTCAGCTGTTATCAAATGGTCCCCTTAGCCAAATTTTATTAATAGACTCAACCACATTTACAGGCATTTCTAATCCACACACTGAATTCCCCCTGCCCCCCTGTTCTTATAAAATAGAACCCAGGCCCTGGGCCACAGCAATAACTCTACCCTTATAACCCCCTCTCTAGCTAAAGAGCCAGCAAGGTTGCTTGCAGATCTAGGTACTCATTTGAACAAGCAATTCAAATTGGATGCCAACATCTTAGCCTCACTTTTCCAAGTGTCACTAAGCCCAAGGGCCCTCCATTGAAGAGTAGAACCAAAGTATAACCACCTGCCAGTCACCTTCCACTATCAAGGTTGAGTAATTGCATAAACAAGACAGTTTGAGTTATTGTAGGAGAAAAAGCAACTCAGCCCTCAAAGAGTTTCCTAATCCAATTGGGCCTGCAATGTATCCCATTCTCATTCTTCATCACATACCTTCAATGTATACCAGACTGCCCCAGTTTTCGAAGACAGCAACCATCAAAATTGAGTTTTACTCTCCTTAAGTCAAGATGTCCAGAGTTGGATTTTTAGCATGAAGTGACCGCTCTCATAATTGATTCCTCCCCTAAAGGTGTGCCTATTTATCTCAGTTGACATTCTAGACTTAGCTCACTCATACATAGACACCGATTAGAAGGTGGAAAACCACAGATCACCATAGCTTTTGTGCACAATTAGCTTATTGTCAATGCAAAAAATAAAAATAAAAAATAAAAAAGATTGTGATCTAACATGAAAAAAAGGAGCCATTACCCAAGTATGTGTGATCTAACATGAAAAAGCACATAAAGGAGGAAACTCACAAAGAGGGAAGGTATTCTACCAGTTGGCATCCATGCCTTACGGATCGCATCCCTATTGTTTTTGTGGCCAAACTTTGTAATTATTCCAATCACTGCTAACAACCTTTTCTTAGAACTGGTGCCATCTGTCCCTGACAAATGCTTTGAAACAAAGCCTTCCTGTCTAGCTGCAGCTAGCTCCATCTCAAGGGCAGATAATTTCTTCTGTTGTTCTCTGAAAGAGAAATGAACTTTTATCAAAACCTTCACCAAAAGAAAAAAATATGTACTAAAATTAAGAACTCCAAATAAACCAACAATTCTGATGATATATTCTTACTTGCAAGCTATGATTTTCAGTGTATCATCTACTGATATAGCTGATTGCCCCTGAAAATGTACAGTTGTCAACCCAAACAATTTATTGGGAATCCCATATTATAAAATTAACAAAGGTAGAGGAATCTGACATGACTTCAGCAGCATTACTGAACCACCTAACTTCAAGAACCATCATGGATGGATCACAAACCAATGTTTGCACATGTTTAGGTGTTGCTGATCATCCAACCAATGAAGTTATCAATTAATGAGACTGATCAGATGCTAAAGATTTCCTCCTTGGTCTGATTCTGCAATTACCATTCTTACTATTTTTTATTTTCTCTTGGATCTCCTCTACTGATCTGGACCGTCCAGCTCTTACCAAAAAATAGGGCAATCAGGCCCAATGGAACGGAAAATGGCATGTCAACAAATTTCCTCGGAAAAATGTTATGCCGTTTGATTATCTAAACACGAGATAGAGTGCAACAAACTGGATTTCAACCTAGAAATTAAATATGTATATATAAGCGGGAAAGAGAACATAACTACCTGCCCAGTTATTCTATCAATCTCCTTAATTAAATAGACCCTGTTTTCTGCATCCTGCCATAGGCTATGAAAAACATTTATATCAATTATCAAATGTTTAGTAGATATAACTTTAGAAAACCAATAAGATCACATAAAATACAACAAGAAAAGATAGAAAAAAAAAAGAAACAACAACTTCAAGATCAAAGTTATAACAGATTGCTCTCGCAAATAAACTGTAGAAACTGATCAAAACAATGCCATGTTTATAAACCCTAGGATAGATGCAAAATACACGAACAGTATTTCAGAAATAAAAAATAATAAAAACTCACCGGCCGGCGACATAAATCGAAGCCATCGTAGCGAACATAGAAAGCATCAGAGCCGAAATCCGGGATCGGATAACCAGACTAGGTAGCTTGTTACTGGATCCCCGGCTCTGCATCTTTAGTTGTATTCTGTTTCTCTTTATCGACCCGAAAGATAAAACAGTCCTTCAAGCACTACTCATTCGACTGGAAATCGACCGAGAAACTTAGAATTCGAATCAGATCTGTCAAGATTAAGAGCTCGAACTAATTTCGAAATCAAATATGAGAACAGGAAGAGTGAAGGTTGGTAGAGGGACAAGACATTCTAACCAATTTCTGGGTTTGTCCTCTCAATAACAAGGGGAAAAGTAACGAGTTCAAATCAGCCCCCCGCGAGATTGCCCCCCACAACGTGCTACAGCGCATTTCCGCCGTGTATTGAGAGCATCTTTCTTGTTCACTTATTGTATTGAAGTACGAAAGTACCCTTACCTTCTCACGTGTAAATCTACTGTAGAGAGAAAAAACAAAGGGAACAATTTTGGAATAAAAAAAGAAATGCGTAACAGCCATGGCCAATTGGCCATGGATCTACCCGATGATTCGTCGAGCCCGGATCTGGTATAAAACGTAAATAAACACTCAATAAATAATATTTCCTAATTTGTAAAATTAAGTAAGACGTATCAGCACACAGAGTGTGAGTGTGACTCTGAGATCATAATCATAATGCTCTCCTTTCAACGATTATCGAAATTAAATTGTTTTTGGGATTCAACGGATTGAACAGAATGGCCAATCCAGTGGGCCAAAACTCGGGTATCGGTCAATGCAGAAAGGTACCAGCCGGTGCGTCTGTTGAGTATGGATACCGTAGAAACTAGTCACTCGGAACCGTCTGTCCCCTCTCCCATACTCCCATTTCATTAGTTTCATTGCCATTAATAGTTAGCCATCAAAACCATTATGCCGCGTTTGGAAACTATGCAAATAAGTATGAATGTAAATTTGTAAAGTGTAAAACTGTTTATATAAATTGTAAAATTGGGTTAATTTTGCAGTGACAAATTTACCGTATTATCAAATAGACTTTTAACTGTAATGGATGCAAACATGAATTCCAATAAAGATTATGCTTTTTTTATCAAAAGCCCACTTGAATGCAAATTTACTTTTTTTTTAATGGACTTTTACATCTTATTATCAATGTAAATATGCATTGATCTGTCATTTGTCAATACATAAATGTAATGTTGCCAAACATAGGCAAAAGTGAACCAAAGTGCAAATTAAAAAAAACGTGTTACCTGCGCAGAAATGTCATTTTGATGTTTGGTTCAATGGATGGCTGTCACACAATATGAGAAAAACATTTTTTAATAAATACTTTAATCAAACAAACTTTTTAAATTTATTATAGAAAATACTTATGTGACATTGAATTTGCAGCAATTATTTGATAAACGACAATAGAACCAAACACCATCACAATGGTGAATCACTATTTTTTAGCAATACAAGCACTCAAAGTCCATTCCATTTCCAAGTCAAGGTCCTTGTGCATAGTTTCTCCCTACATATATGTATGTTCTTCACCATATTTACAAGCTAACCATGCCAGCCTATGATATTATGTGTTCTATACTTCTGTTAGCATACATTTACAATAGAAAAATAGTGTATAGCAGTTAGTGATCATTACTGTTGTTGTTGTTATTATTAAATTTTGTATTCCATTTCTGGCATAAGTAAAAATAATTTTATGATGAATATATAATAATAATAATAATAATAATAATAATAATAATAATAATAATAATGATGATGATGATAAAACAGTAGGAATGTTCCTAAATGTTTTTGATAAAATTCTACACTTTTCGTCTTTTTGTGTTCTATCTTTTTTTTAATATTTATTATTCAATTATGACATCATGAGTTTATTTGAAAAGTTGGACCATTAACTCACCATCTACATAAGAAAATAGCTTGACTTTTGGATCAGTTCTGAATTATATATTTCATCTAAATTTTATAAATAATTTTTACTTATCACACTTAATTATTGTTTGACATAATTAATATATAATTTTTATACATTATTTTGATGACTTGTATTTTTTTTTATTTTTTAAAGATTTATTATTATTTAACTATCATATCATCGATTAATCCATTTGACCCGAACTACTAACCCGCCGCCTAAAAAGGAAAATAATTTGATTTTTCTTAACAGTATGGCCGGCTAGAAATAAGAGAAAGAGAAGAGAAGAGAAGAGAAGAGGAGAAGATGAGAAGAGAGAAGGGTTTTGCAATGTAACAGTGTTGACGGCGCCAACCTTTATTTTAATATATATAGAGCGGCAGAAATAACAAGGGAAAAGACCCTTGTGCCCCTGAGTACAATAACAACCATAACAGAAAGGAAAAAACGAAATAAAAGAAACACTTTAACTAGACAAACAGACCCTAACATCAACAACTAAATTATTTTAGCACTCCCCCTCAAATTGGAGCATAGATATCAATCATGCCCAACTTCTCCACTTTCAAGTTTCTCTCTAATAAAATGCTTGTCCACTTCAATGTGTTTCGTCCTATCATGCAGRACTGGATTAGYAGCAATATTGATGGCAGCTTTATTGTCATAGTAGAGTGACATAGGATTGCTCATTGCGAAACCCAATTCACCTAACAGATTTCTTATCCACATGATTTTCGCAACCCCATGAGCCATCGCTCTATACTTTGCTTCAGCACTGGATCTAGCCACTACACTTTGTTTTTTACTTCTCCATGTGGCCAGGTTTCCTCCTACAAAGGCACAATACCCACTAGTAGACTTTCGATCATTGACTGCTCCTGCCCAATYTGCATCAGTATATACTTCCACCTTTAAGTGACTATGTTTCTGGAACAACAAACCAGCTCCAGGAAACTTGTTGAGATATCTCAAGATCCTCTCTGCAGCCTCAAAGTGAGTTGTCCTAGGGTTGTGCATGAATTGACTAAGGACACCCACTGCATAGGCAATATCAGGCCTGGTCATAAACAAATACAAAAGTCTCCCCACGAGTCTCTAGAACTTCTTTACATCTTTCAAAAATTCCCTGACTGTCTCCTAAATGATTATTAGGTTCAATTGGTGAATCAAATGGTTTTACCCCCAACTTGCCTATATCTTCTAGTAGATCTAGTACATATTTCCGTTGGGAAATAAAGATGMCCTTGTGAGAGCGGGCAACTTCAATTCCAAGGAAGTAACATAAGGGGCCTAGATCCTTCACCTCAAATTGAGTGGCTAAGAATTTTTTTAGTCTTCGAATTCCAGCCTCCCAATCTCCTGTGATCACTATATCATCCACATACACAATAAGAGTTGCAATTTTACCTTCACCTCTTTTCACAAATAGAGTATGAACTGACTGGCATTGTTTGAACCCCATCTGTTGAATTGCTAGATGGAACTTACTGAATCAAGCCCGAGGTTATTGTTTCAACCCATATAGAGATTTTTTTTAACCTGCACACCTTTTGTTCAGTGCCTTTGTCACAGAACCCTGGGGGTTGGGTCATGTACACTTCCTCTTCTAAGTCACCATTCAAGAAAGCATTTCTTATGTCCAATTGGTGTAGTTCCCAATCAAGATTTGTTGCCAAGGAAAGAAAAATCCTAATAGAGTTCATCTTAGCTACTGGAGCAAAAGTCTCAGCATCGTCCACTCCATATACCTGTGTAAAGCTTCTTGCTACCAGTCTAGCCTTGTACCTTTCAACAGTTCCATCAGCCTTGTGTTTCACTGTGAACACCCACTTACACCCCACTAGTTCTTTCCCTTCAAGAAGGTCTACCAACTCCCAAGTGCCATTTTTGTATAAAGCATCAATTTCTTCATGCATTGCATCTATCCATTCAGGTTTAGACAAAGCTTTTGCCAAAGTCTTAGGAATGGGGACACTATCCACAGAAGAGAGGAAGGCACGGTATGAAGACGAAACATGCTCATAGGACACAAAATTAGAGATAGGATGACTAGTGGTACAAGACCTAACACCCTTTCTCTCAGCAATAGGAATATTAAGATCATTGGTGATAGGTGAATCAACATTTAGAGGAACAGACATATCAATAGGAGCAAGTGTACCTGGCTGATGAGACGGATCTACCTCGGGTGAACCCGATGATGTTGATTGCATAGTGTCAGGTTCCATGGCTCTTGAACTCTGCTGGATCTTATGGCGATGATGAAAAAACCAGAATGGAGGAGGATCGGGTAAAGGAGGTAATTGGATTTGAGTTGTCCCCTGTTTCTCCTCAACCCTACTCTCCCCCTGAGGAGAAACCGAGAAAAAAGGTTGATTATCAAAGAATGAGACATCAATGGAAACATAGTACTTGCGAGCAATGGGATCATAGCAGCGATACCCCTTTTGAGATAAAGGGTAACCAAGAAAAACACACGGAATAGCCCGAGGATCAAGCTTACTACGAGTAGGGGACAGGTTATGGACAAAGTAACGACACCCAAAAACACGCATCGGAATGGTAGAAACGGGGCTGTAGGGAACAAAAGCTGATGTGGGGCCTTATACTCTAGTAGCCGAGAGGGCATGCGATTGATGATATACATAGCACACAAGACTGCATCCATCCAAAACCATTTTGGCACATTCATATGAATCAATAAGCCACGAGCGACTTCGAAAAAGTGGTAGTTCTTCCGTTCAGCCACACCATTTTGTTGGGATGTCCTGGCACAAGAGCTTCGCTGAAGTGACCCACTCGAAGCAAAAAACTCCGTGAGATCACTATGGAAATATTCCTTCGCATTGTCCGACTAGAAGATATGGATTTCCGTTTGGAACTGAATGAACACCATGCGTTGAAAATCTTTCACAATTTATGGACTTCATCTTGAGATTTTATAGGGTAAACCCAAGTGTATCTAGAATAATCATCAATCAAGGTAATGAAGTACTTATAGCCAGTYTCAGTAGGTAGAGTAACAGGGCCCCAAACATCAGAATAAACAATATGAAATGGAAATTCAGATCTTTTATTTTGCAAAGATAAATAACTTCTACAATGCTTACTCAATTGACAAGTTTGACACTGTAACTGACTCACTGATAAGGACTTAAACAACTTTGGAAACATAACTTTTAATGACTCAAAAGAAAGATGACCTAGACAACTATGCCATAAATAGGCTTGACTCTCACTTGACGAACTCATGGACTCTGTCGCCACAAGACCAGCATTATTCTTCAACACGTAGAGACCATTCACCATGCTTCCTCTACCAATTGTCTTCCCCGAGGCCAAATCCTGAAACACACATGAAGACGGAAAAAAAGTGACTGAGTAGTTCAAGGAGTGAGTTAAACTACTAATGGACAGAAAAT